CGGCCCGCTCCGAGGGAGATGCTGGCGCAGCCCGCTGCGCTCCAGGGGAGCTCAAGGGGTCCCACTTGGCACCGCTGTTCATAGTCACGAGATGACTGACTTCAGGCACCAATAAATTTCCATCCTACTTTCACAACCTGTGTTGAAGATTACTAAAGTTCTCTGAATTCCAGTGATGCTGGTACAGATCCTCCCGAGTTACAGCCCAGATAAGATAGGCCCCAAGGCTGCCAGCTGGTGACTGGTATGGATGAAAAACGTACCAAGGTTGCCAGGGCTGCCTCCCTGGGACAGAGAGGGCTGCTCCCACCTCAGCCACGTACCAGTTGTTGATACGGTCAAGGGACGCTTAACCACCAAACTCGTTACACAAAGGCCAATTTCGATGGGAGCTGCTGAGATTGTAAAGCAGCTTCGCCTCCCCTGCTCTGCCAGGTGCACAGGGACGGGGGGGCGGGGAATGCACCACCACACCCAGTGACCATCTGTTTTCCAGGGGGAAAAAAAAAAAAAAAGTAGGCCAGCAGCAAGAAATTCTTAGCAGATTTGAAAGGAAACCACTGAGAAAAAGCTGACTTCATTTCTGAATATGTAACTCATTCAAAAGAAAAGCACACGCAAAGCAGCACCTGTTGCAGCCCAGTGTTAAATTACTTTAAGCAAAGTGTGATTTTCAAATACTAAATATTTTTGTTAAATCACAATTGATTTGTCAAGGGGGCAAATATTTTTCATACTTTTTCTGATGCGTGAAGCCTGCTCACGTGCTCAAATTTGAATGCGAAGGAGGTTTCTTTTCAAAACCAGTGCTAAAGAAGTTTGCTTCACTTCTCCCCCCGTTTGCTTTCCATGCTTCTGCACCTTCACTGGCTTACCATTACGCCACAAAAAAACCCCAACCTTTTTAAAAGGTTGTTTATCTGTAAGGTATTGTTCAGAAACTTGTAGATGAGAAACACTTTTACGCAGTGCACTTGAAATCTGTAAATGCTAAAATGCAGGTGAAAGCGTCTTTAAACCTCTCAAGACTGATCTCTATTACACACAGAACTATGAGCAGTTAAAAGCAGGCAGACAAGCAGCAAATGGCGATTATGACAGTACGAAACCTGCTGCTTTCTTTTGCTCTTTCACATCTCATTCCACCATCGCTAATTTGTATTAGACTCCCGTGAGATTTAAGGCAAAAATTATCCTGTCTTCCTTACTCAGCAGGACAGTTAAACCCCATTTTTCCTTACTGCAGTACAGACTTAAAGCTCTTACAAAGCTTCATACGTACAGAGACCACAACATTCACCGCTCCTTTGAACAAAAGTCTCACTTTGATTTTTCAGTATTTCTGGTGGAGGACAAAGCTTGTTTTGCAAACCTTGGTCTGAACTGCTTCATGTATACAATCCCTAGTTCCCAACATTTTTGTACATGATGACTTGGCCTATTTCTTATCTATGGGTAAGACATACTGTCTCCACAAGCTGGCAGAGCATACATCTAGAGTCTGACACCTACTTGACAGAAAAAAAAGATACACTACAAAAGAGGCAGACCTAAAACATGTAAAGCGGAGTCCCTTGAAGACACTACTACTTTACTATAACACATGTACGAATGCTTGTTCCTTGGGACTAAGTTTTGAGTAAATATGTTTTCCCTAAGACATCTGCTTGTAAAGTCATGAGGAAGTCTGACCTGTATTTGGATTAAAAGTGTTGTATGAAAAAATATGCTTAATGTTAGAGAATGTGTGTATGAAAATAATCTAATTTAATTTTCACTTTTCTAGTTTCTGGATTTTCGTCTAGAGACTTAAATGCTAATATGGTTCTTATGACCATATTGCCCTTTGATGAATTTTATTTTTTGAATGCCCATTAAAAGATAATAATGAAAAGATTTTTTTTTTTTTTAAAGGAAAAAAGTGTTAGGTGAAGGGCAGATAGAAGGACCAAAAAAAAAATTTTTTTTTTAAAGCAAGGAGACAAGGTAGTGAAATTATACCAAAGGAAACAAAGCTAGTTAAATTTTATTTTCCAAAACTCCAGCCTAAATAAGTTTGTTAAATAAACATCCAGAAAACAGTCAGTGCTCACTCTGTTAGCAGATGCACAAGTTATTTAACCAAACAACAGTGAAATATTAACAGAATTATTTACATGCATATTTACAACGTGTTCTTTACAGTAGCTAACTTTTGGGGAGTATTTCCATTTGTTTTGGTAAGGGGTTCTACTCAGTCTGACCAGTAACAGATAACAGGAAACAGTACAACTGAGTTTGGCAAGAACAACAATGGAGTATCCTAGGAAAACTAACATGATTATATGGTGTCAAAAAAGAGCAGTTGGCTTCAGGATGTTAACATTTATGAAATATATGAATTTACTCCAACTACAAAATTAAATCAAACTACATAAAATTAGAAGAATGGAGAAAGTTACAAGGGTTGCTGGAAGGTTAGAGATGTTAGATACGTTAATTAAAAAAAAAAATATTGCGCACTGCACATACTCTTGAGAAGCATGGGTTATAACTATCATCATATAGTCTTGAAGAAAACAACAAGGGACAGTTTTTGCTTGTAGTAGTTGAAAATAAGCTTATCTGAACCAAAGATCTTGAAAGCACCCAACTTCCAAAATACTGCTTGCTTTTTCACGTATCAATGTATAACATGTTTATTCCACAAAAAAAATTCCGGATCTCACCCATATGGGTTTTGGAAGAGGAAGAAAAAGGAAATAAACAAAACAAAAAACGCCACACAAAACAAAACCTTCACAAACCACTTCTCATGATTGTGATCTAGGATGAGTAAATCCAAATATATACTAAAACAAACAAGCAAGCAATTAAATTTAGATCAAGTTATTCTCCCCCTTTCTCCCTGAAGGGAATTTTTATGGGACAGTTCCCCATTAAATTTTAATTTCAGTTATGATAATTTTTAAATCATTTTTATTGCAGCCAAAACATTGTTCATATACCTGTACATAAAATAAACTATGATATATACACAACATTTTAAGTTACAGGGCATAAGTTTACAATTTTTGGCAGATTCTGTTAAACAAAATGGAAATTATAACTTTAGTACTCGGAGAAACTCAAGTTCCTTCTTTTGGTACAAATGTTTTGTGTCCCCCTGTATTCTAACCATACCTAAACTGGCGTAATAAACTAACATTAATGTGTAACATCTCACTGTTTTCTCTTATGTTCTGATTCTAGACAAAATTTTTCATATGCTTCTTCAATTTCTGGATCCATCTCATCATCAATGTCATCAA